GTAACTTGCTTACATCGCTTTTCATTAATGCTATTGCTTCAAACTTTCTTATCAAATAATATTCCTCTTTCTATTAAATATGATTGCTACAGAACTCCTAATTATTTATCAAATATCGTGAAAAGAAACCTTATTAGCTCTTAGCTGCTCGAAAAGGTTCATCTTACAGGATTTAATTTCAGGCAGTTCCGTATTCAAAGAAGGAGGGAAATGTAATGGTCTAGGATGCACAATGCACAAAGTCCATTGTAAGAGGCTGAAGAAAGTAAATGAAATTTTCAGTTTTAGGCTCTCCGTTTTCGCTAGGTAGGCTCCAAGCCTTAGCACTCTCATGCTAAACAGCATAATTCATTGGTTATGAAAAAATGAAAGCTATAAACATAAGTTATATAAAATGGTCTCATGATATTGTCTACACTAGTAATGAAAACTTTTGTCCTGCACTAGGTCGACACTGAAATCCTAGCACTCCGTGCGGGCAGCAGTGAACCCATATTAACTATATTAATCAAATAATTAAATTATGTGCTAGTAGTTCTAATTTTTACATATATTACTTTTGGAAAGAATTTCCCGAAGGTAGCAGGAGCGAGTACGAATTGATATGGAAATTAACTGATGAGAAAATCTAAAAACGAACGTAGCGCCGTCTGTCTTGAAAAATAACAATAAAATGTGAAAAAGCTAATATATTGAAATTCTAAAAGCATTAGTAAGAACCGAATGGGAGTTAAGGTCAGTAACTAAAGTAGATATTGGTTTGAAACATAAGTAATGACCGTTTATGTTGAAAATTACGCGGTAAAAATAAAATGTGTTTTGTGCTATTGGAAAGATAATCTTTCCCTCTAAAAGATGGCATATTTGGTTTTTTTTTTTTTTTTTGTTTTTTTTTTGTTTTGAGATAATTTTCGTTATTTTTTAGATCATTAAAATGGAGTGTGAAGTCGACAAAAATAAGCGGTTTCGACACATTCTTCTTTTTGCGTTTAATCGAGGCACCAATGTTGCAGAAGCTGCCTGAGAAATTTATGAAGTGTATGGAGAAGGTCAATGCCTGAAAGAACAGCAATAAATTGGTTTGCTAAATCAAAAATTTTAATTTCGATCTCGAAGATGCTGCTCGTTCCAAACGATCAAATGAGATTGATGAAGAGCGTTTGAATCAACTTCTGCACGAAGACGCGCATCACACCACTCGAGAATCAGCCGAACGAATGGGTTGTAGCCAAATGACTACACGTTTTCGACATCTTGGGTTTGTGGGGAAAGTCCAAAAACTCGAATATTATTGATTAATTTTTTTTTTTTTTTTTTTGTTTTGTTAAAATATTTTTTTAAATTAAACGGCCATTACTTATGTTTCAACCCAATAATCTTCCCACTGTGGAAAGCTTCAAAAAGTCTATTTCCTCAACTGAAGACATTTTATTGATGATTTTCGTAGAATCAGAGTCAAAATTATGATTAAGTGACCAACTATAAACAGGTATCGAATATATGTGTACGTCTCCTTTCCGAACGTAGGATTCAGCAAATCACACTGGCAAGATATGCTATAAATTACCCAAGATTTAAAATCAAGGAGAATGTCTTTAAACACTGAGCAATGAAGTCTACTAATTAGATGAGAAAAGGACGTGAAAACTGAACTTCTTTAGGATGCGATCAGTTTTATAACGATAGAAGGATGTAATGGGATAAACAAAATTTTTCTATGCCTTTTCTTAATAAATGAATGCCATTTATGATATCAAGACAAAACTTTTCAGAACTTTATCAATGACCGTGAGAAAAAAGTCATCTATCTATGCCACGTGTTTTCAAATAATTGAGTTCCTGGAAAAGAAAAGATTAGCCTGGAGAATTCAAAACACATAAAAACAAAAAAGAGCTACTTTTTCTTTAACAGGATCACGTTAATTTGCGTAAGGAGGTAAGCAAACACAAAACAGTTTCAGTAAACATAACACTGAAATCAAATTAATTGCTTAGTTAGAATTTGAAAGGAAGGAAAGGAGCAATTTCATTTTTAAATAAAAAGAAAGTTGGATAGCTAGATCACTCCAATTCATAAGAGATAAAATCTTTACGAAATTCCCTTTATGACAGTCTAAAAGTACGAAAATGTCATTACCATAGCGAATCCAGAACCAAAAAAACGTTTTTCAAATCTTTCCTGTTGACAAAAATTTATCTTCTTCATTTAATGACATTAATCAATCCAGTGTTCTTTATGTTTTCAAAATTTTAATTAGCTTAGTTTTTTTTTCATGTTTCATATCTACTTTCCTCGACAGATGACGCTACATTAGTTTACGATTTCTTTGCCCATTGACTGCCATATAAAATGATTGTTTTCGTCCTATCTTTGCGAAAACATTTATTGCGCTTTGTGAAGGAGGTCTTATGGCTGATCGCCCCCGATATCGATAAAATTTTATTCAAAATGTTGACCTCTTTAAGGTTGTTTTTCTGGCCTAGTTTTAAATTATACACAAACATAGGCATAGTATTTTTAATTTAAAAATAATTAAAAACCTGGTTTACCTTTACTTCTCGTCAAAATGTTTTTCAATACTCGGTGATATGTTCGAAGTAGGGACTCCAATTTTTATTCACAAGATGATTTCGATGATCATTTTTCAAACTTCCAGTGTTATATAGAAACTTAACATACTTCTAAAAAATGGGGCAAAGGGTTCCTCCGCAAAGTCAAGTCATATGAACTCTCTTCAGAATAAAATACTTGTACTTTTCAAGCGACCGCTTAGTACATTTCACTTTTTACTGAAATTTTTACACTATTCTAAGTCTATATTATGCTATCCTAGTCGCTATCCTAAACTAAGGATAGCGACTATCTTCGAACCGCATGCGAGCATGTGAAGTCCTGCATACGTCGATGGATGACAAATACTGATATATACTATTTTCTCAATGCATCACAGCTTTCATGTCTCTACGAATTGATACGCCTAGTTCACAAATCGTGTTACCTGATAATCAGTATAAGACCAGTTGTTTTATATGATATTTTAGCACGTGATGTCTGTGATGAACGTTTCTCATCATCACGATTTCAACTTGTTTCGGTGTATGTGAGTTTAATCAAAAGGATTCTGTTACTGAGATTGTTGAAATGGAGTTTATCACAAAATTAACGGGGATAACTACTCTATGTGGTCCATAAGAATGACATTTGTGTTTCTCACTTTATTAAATCCTCAGCTACTCTAAGAACATCCGGCTAAGTAAATTACGGCTTAATAATCTCAATGGTTTACGTTGCTTTCTTTCTAAAGCTCGTTTGGACACAAAGGAAGAGAATTAATTGCAACAGAGTTTGCAATTATCATATTTCTGCATCCATGAGCTTTAGCAGCGTACCTTCCCTTTAACATACTATCCTATCTTGTAAGATCGGGAAAACCTTAATGACTGCTTATTAAATCAGCAGTGTCCCAATTTTATGCCGGTGACACTTTGAGTATTTTAACCGTTTGAGTCCGGCGAAGCGCTCACTTGTCCGTATGCCAAAAATACGGCGTAGCGCGATAGCGCTTCTCTTGTTTTGTATCGAGAATGCGAAAACGCTGCTGCTGGTTATTATACTTTACGCAGTTATTGAGAGCAGTTATAGTGATATCAGTAGCAGTTGTTTTATAGGAATTGGAAATTATTTTCATTTTTTTTACCAAGTGTTATACTGATAATTACGAAATAACCCATGCCAAGTTCTGATTCATTTGAAAGTGACTATGTTATGAGAAGTGATAATGAAGAGTATAGTAATGACCTTGAAAGTGATAGTGGAAGTGACATCAACATTCATTCTAAGAGATTACGAGTTATTAGTGATAGCAGTGATGATGATGAAGTAACTGCAAGTACCTCCGATGACGATATTATTGATGAGTTTTTACCCGTGGATACAATTTCGAACGAATCGAATACTTTTTCTGAAGTACCTGGACCAAAGCATGCCCCCTCCTCCTGATGCGAAACCAATTGAATATTTCAATAATTTTTTTTCAATTTTCAATAATTTTTTTCAAGTATACTAACCAACAACAGCGTCTTCGCATTCTCGATACAAAACAAGAGAAGCGCTATCGTACTGCGCCGTATTTTTGGCATACGACAATTGAAGCGCGATAGCGTTTCGCCGGACTCAAACGGTTAAATACTGTGTCCATTGATAATAATACTGAGAGGCACGCTAAGCTAAACTTGTTTCGAATACTTTATTTCTTGTTATGCATTCATTAGTCACTGCATCATTCCTCTGGAAAACCATCAAAGGTTTCACAAAAATACAAGAGTGAACTCTTTAAGTTAATTATATCTTTTTATTCGTTCACTCCAGTATTGTTATTTTGATTCTAGAACTATGCAATACTGCATCTGATGCGCAGTTTTACGTTATGATACACATTTTTACTTGCCTGAAAACCGTAATACATGTAGAATTTGTATATAAATACGCAGATCTCTAAACCTCTAACTTTGTATAGCTTTAACTTTTTAATTTAGTAACATAGGGCAAAACTTATTTCTCAAGAGTGGAGTGTAAAAGGAGTAAGATTTACGGAAAAGTAACGTCTCATTTTATTAAGTTTTAAAAATGTTTCTGCTGAGCATTATATGATTACAGCTGCAATTATAAACTAATTACTTATGCATTAAACGTTATGTTTATAAAGTATTTCTCTAGCTTTCCTAGCGTGCCTTCGTGGTGTAGTGGTTCTGCACGCTGGGCCGGTATCCAGAGATCCGTGGTTCGATGTCTGTGGTCCATGCTCTTGCTCATTTTTCATCTTTCCTGCTTTAAAAAAAGTACCTAATGTCTCTACATGTTTAATAATTAAGATTTTAACTACGCAATAAATTACTTCTGTAAGACCTTCGTTTTCGAAAAACAATAATTGCTATTACCACTATTCGTAGCCAAAAAAAATCGTTTTCAATTTAAGAGGAGAGCATAAAAATGTCTTCACCTGAATGATGTGATTTTTATTCTCGAAGACTTGAGGTAGCCGGTGTAAACTGCACCAGTAAGTAGTTTCAACATTGGGAACAGGAACCTAACAAAAAATTAAAATATGAGGTAAAATAAATTTACATAATAATGCAGACTTGTGTAACAAAATAAAAAGAAACTTAATCCATGTCAATGACACATGCTATTAATATAATAGTGATTTACAGAGAAATTATTACAGAGAAATAAATGTTCACACTAAAGCTGAAGATTTTTGAGCACATGGTTGACTCCGAGATATAGTTTCATGAATCCAGATTATGACTGACGTAAAGCTGATCATACAAATTTAAATATTACTTAGTAATAAAATTCATGTACTTATACAGATTGATTAGGGCTTATTGTAAAGGTTAATAAGAATTATTTAGCAATAAATCAGGTGCCCTTCTGAGAGAGAGAATAAGATTGACTGGAATAATGGAAGTTTTAATAACTTATAAATCCACAAACGTTTATAATATCTAGGTATGTTTTAGACATATTCTAGATAAGTATCTTAATATGTTTTAGAACTCTTGTGGGTAAAGTTCTTCCTTAAACAAATTAAGCACAGTGTGTGACTCTGTGGAAGACGAATTCAATCACAAACAGCACACAGGTGCACACTTCTGGAGATAAACTGTATTATGAATGGTATTGCAAAACTCAGTTTAATGAACATAATTTTAACCATACTTACTCCACTTATCCGTGTCCATGGATAATATGCTCACCATTCGTTTATGTCTTCATCAAAAGAAAACTATTTATAACTATTTACATAAATAACCAGCGCAGTATAATAAAAAATGAAATTTTTTAATAATATATCTTGTAGTGATTGAGTATATTTTTCATTATTATTATTATTAAATAAATATAATTATCAGAGGCAAACTCACTTGTTTTTAGAAACTTGTTCACATCGAATAAACGATAAAACTTTCATCTATTACATTCATGGGGAACTGTTGTCTGATTTGCTGCAAATAGGATAATGTTATCTATCACCGAGCTTATTTCAGAAATATATTTCTTTTGCTCCAGCTGCTTTCGTAAGTTTCTGTGCTCCGTAAATGACGGGAAAGTCATACTCGTATTGATAGCTTATCTATGTGATACTCAGTTTTTGCAGTTTCCAATATGGTTATTTTCCAATATTCACTGTTACTAGAACGAAGTATGAGAACTTAGTCAATAAATTCGGTGACATTTCGACACATTTCCAATTCGACACATTTTATTTTAGGTATTTGGATCAGAATTATTCGAATAAATGTTGTAACAAGCTCAAATGGCATCTTTAAATTCTTAGATTTATGATATTTCAAGACTAAAAAGGCCGGTTATAGATTTTTGCCATTTAAGAACTAAAATATTCAAAACGAATCGAAATATAATTGGGTTATCAATCCATAAAGTTAATGTTATTCCAGACATTGAGGAGACTGCAGATAGCCTTCAATTTATGAACCAAAAAAAACTGAAGTATAATTTTTCTGTCCATTTAGAATATGGCCTAAAGGAGTGTTAAATATCACGCTGTAGCAGCTATTAAGATTCCTCTCACTAGTTTTCAACTTTGGTTTATCTTATTTACTCGTATTATTATGGTGCATAAAAGAATATCAAAGAATAGGGTACTTTGGTTAGAACATAATATTGGAGTTTTACACTGCCAAATATTTTTAATTTTATAAGTATTGTAAATCAAGCTACACTTCCCAACATAGGAAATGCAACACCGTAAAAATTTAGGCGTATAAATATGTAAATTTCGAGTAATAGTAGCGGAAAAAGTCATGCAGATTATGTAAGATGTAAGTTTGTCTATGACGCGAGATAAAGGAAGCTGCGGACGAACCAACAGTAGTTACTCTCTGCTGCTTACGGAATCCAGAATTTCGAGAAGTTCATCATTCCAGAAGACACGTGTGGCTGAAGAGATGTCTGGACGATGACACCGTAGGCAATTGCCAATTTTACCTAGGGGTCGAATTGTGGGTTTACCTACTGCTAGTTGGTCTCATTCTCATGTCGCTGCTGAAACGCACGTAGATGGAAATGCAAACAATCGCGAAGGATCAGATCCATCTAAAAGTATTACAGATAGTACAGATCGATGCATACAAAGAGATGTGGTAGCGGCCCCACAACCGACTGCTATAGAAATTTTGCGGAATGAACTTTCAATGCTGCAGTATCCAGGACAAAAGTTTCTCGAAATTTGGTTAAAAGCGGCTTCCACGCAAACCGCCCGTTGCGAAGGCTGCTATTAACGCCAAACCATCGATACGAAAGACTGCAATAGTATATTCAAAGAGCCACTTGGACATCCGAATGGCCCAATGTGGTATTCAGCGTTCCAGTTTCTGTTTGTCTCATGATAGTTCAATGGTTAAATATCGAGGCGTTGGGGAGATAGATCCAATCCGTCTACTACTGCTGAACGCACTGCTCGTCAGCAAGGCATAATGTTTTTCGGAGCCATCAGTCATGACAGCAGGACACCCCTGTTACCCATCAGGGGCACACTGACAGCACGACGATACATTCATTAGGTGCTGGCGTCCTTGGCCTACAATGTTCCCTAATCTTTTGCCAATCGAACATATTTGGGATGTGACTGGCCATTTTTTGTTTGCTCTGCCCCAGGCGTTATCGGAGGACGAACTTTGGAGGAATATTCAGAACATAGGGATTTCCATCCCTCAGGACACTATCCGCAAACTATCCTCGTAAGGTTGCATGTCCTCGTAAGGTTGAATACATGACCATGAGCGTTGGTCTTACTGATTCCCCGTATATTTCAGCATTGTACAAACTTATCTTTCTATGAATAATATCACTTATTGACATATGCATGCTCTGTCTTTGTATTAACTGACATCACATTGTACCCCATCATTCATGGTGTTTCATTTTCTACTTTGGGAGTGCTTTTCAGCTAGTAAACGATGGGCTTTTAAATCCACTTGATGTTTCAGATTGTCACATTTTTTACGATGGTCAGTGATTTCTCTACCTTTAGTGAAGATGCATTACTAATCACGAAATTCTACAAAATTACATCAAGGGAATGATATCAGTACAGCTGAACTCCATTTTTTAAAAGCAGCGAAATAAGCACATATCCAACAAGAAAATATGAATTCTATATACGGACAGTCGCCAGAATACCCATTCTCCTACTACTCTGTGTCACCATACGTAAACAGTTAGTTCTTGTTAAGATCTATTCTCTTGCGATGAAATGGAGAAAATCTATTCCTTTCAACATGAACGGCATAAACGGAATAGCAGGCAAAATTCTCATTATAAACACACACAAAAATCATTCCGCAGCATAGCAACTGTAGTCTGCTCAACCTGCAAAAGATTAAAGCATGCAGTGGTGTTATATGTAATAAGCTCATCTATACTTTCGTTAAAAATACTATTGATTCAACTCCCTTCCTCCTGATCCCAGCACCCTTTCTAAATAAATTCCTTAATAATATTTCTATAAACGAATAGCAACTCTCTTAAGGACATAAGTAATAGTTCGATTCATCAATCGAACCATAGGGATAGGATCATTATAAGGCAGCGTGAAACGATAGAAGTAAAAGAGAATTACATAGGGTGTAGTCAAGAGCTGCGTTAGATGCTCTGTGAATATTTCTATTTACGAGGAGAAAGAAATCGTAATACTTCTTTTTGGTTAACTGGAAGCTTCCACTTTTGACTGCTTGCTACGATATAGACGGCACAGCAGCAACTAATGGCCATATTCTTCAAAACTAGTCTTAAAATCGTCCTTCCCATAAAATCCTTAAAGAACAATTGAGGCAAACTATGCAGAATATAATTTCTGCAATAATTCTTTGCTCTTTGATTATTTTTTTCTCTACTGCATTTTTATGCTTAGTACACCATCTGTTCTGCCATTTCGTCCTTGAAATAGGAGTCAGAAGTGATGCCGAAAGACCTTAGTTTATTAAACCTAGTTGTAACTCGAAAGCCCCCGGAAGTTCTGTTTGGACATGATTTTTTAATTCCCATTCCATTCCACAATGGCGATCAGTAAGGCATGCATCTTGACACCTCAAAGCTGAGGTATAAGCCTGATATTATTCATAAATGATAAAATATCATAAGACATGTTGAGAGAAGTTTTATCATATTCTGTATCAAAGCAATGTATTCCATAATGGATTTATACCCGACGATATAATATATATTATTGATCATTAGGTACATTTCTGAGTGTCAATTCATAGCAATTAAACGCCTATTTTTAAATTCGACGATAAAGAACTCCGAAATCTATTTTATTCCATCGGAATTGTCTAGTTTACTGGAGACAGACCTCATATTCTGTTATTTGGAATTTTTATTCCGAAGTATAAAGTATCCGTTCAGGTTTTCTTTTGAAGCATGTGTTTATGTTTTGCATTAAAAGCGTATTTCTCTATGAAAGCATTCTGCTTTCAATAATCACAGACATAATTTTAAAGTATCACTATCCGGCCATGAATTAAATAGAAGAAAATGAAGCAAACTTAAAATGAGATAGAACTATATCATGCATTCTAAAATGTTTGTTTTAAGCTATGCAAAATGTACGGTTTGGTTTATCTAGAAGGTAAGATGTTAAGGAAAGCTGTTGCAAAAAATATTTTCAACTTACTTTAAAAAAGTGCCCCTCTCAGTTGTTGCAGTTTTGAGCAATATATAAGTTGCAAGAGAATTTTAAGGAAGGATAAATCTTAGAATTTAGTAATATAGCCTAATTTTCCCTTGCATCGGATGGTAAAATACTGATTAGAATTAGGATTATGATTCCTTAGATCAGGTATCTGAAACCCTTTTCTTGCATCAATCCGTTCTTAAAGAATGGTTTTCTTCATCGATCCCCTTATAATTTTCTTTATAAAATCTAGCATGCAACGTAATAATAATGGAAACAATTGAACATAAAATACCTTAAAGATAGCAATTAGACTAAAAATATGAACAAAAGTTTTCAAAAAACAATAATTTATTATATTTATGCTTTATTAATTTAATTTTTTTATTTCTCAAATTTAAAAAGGTTGCCAGAAGCAAAATCTCATATTCTGAATTGTCCAAAAAGGTTCGATTTTAATTAATGTGATGGTTGCACTTGATATTCATGCAACTGTTTTAATATTTGGCATAAAATTTCGTAAAATTAATTCTTAAGTCACCTTGCTAATCATTTTGTTTCTTATTTTCTGTAGTTAATTAGAAAGAGTTAGAAGGGGAAACTAATGACTGATTTGACTAATCAGTTTGATTGATAAAGTTTTTTTTCAATTAAGATCTTGATTATGATGATGAGTTGCTGATGCAAATTTGTCTGTCGACCCCCTAACCTGATCATCACTAATCCCATTTAAAATTGCATCGACCCGCAGAAGATCAATATAAACCCCGCTGGGAATCCCAGCTTTATATTACGGCAAAGTTCTCAGGGGCTATCTGTTTATGGTAAATGATATATTTGAAGGGGGCTCTTTAAGGAAAACTGGTTTGCGATCACGTTACACACAGGGAGAATAACAGAAACTCAAGTTCAACCAGATGGTTCGCCAGGGCTTATTCCCGGGTGAAACTAAAAGTATTCTGGTGTTTTACCGCTCTATCTCTTATGGACTTTTACAGTCCTAAAATATCTAATAAAATATTTACGTCTGCAGCTTTTATCGAAATATTTCAATAAATATTAGAATCTTCAGAGCAACTAGATGAAAGTAGCATACATGTACTTGAATAAAATTCACTTCTGTTTGTTATGTTAATGAAGTAACTTTACTATTTTAAAGAGAAAGAGATACAGTTCTTTTAAATCCTTTGGAAGTGTTTACTGGATTTGTTAAAGTTAAATGCACTTATTTAAAATGCGCTATACTTTTGTTTAGTTACATATGAAGGGCATAATTTAAAATAGCGAAATATATTGAAGTTTCAAATTGGTTTTTATTTTTGTCAGTTTTTCGGTTTTGTACTTAAGTCTTTGATTCTTACATACAAATCTGTTCAAATAATGTTTCTTTTTTTAATGAAGCAAGAGACAGGATTTTATTTTCTTTACTTTTATTTCATGCTTTTTTCTGGCTCCCAGCCGAAACCTTCAATTTGCTGATCCTTTTGATAACTGTACAGAATTAACCATGCCCCACATGTCAGAAGAAACAGTTACATATGTCTTTGTTTTTAACTGTCTCAGTTTCTACAGTCATACACTATGTCCATGCTGATTCATTTTCTGTTTCAACTGCGTATTCTTGATGTAAAACAGTATGGAATTGATTTCCTAATGATTGTCTCTCCTCTTTCTTCTGCCTCAGTCCTCCTTCAAATTCTTGCATTTAATGCTTTTTCTCAACCTACTCCTGAGTTCCACATATTATTGAGGTTACATGGAATGACTGTGCTACGGGTGCTAATTTTCTGTGGAACACCAACAATTAGTTGTTTATAGGATTTGGATTTCTCATGTTGTAGCCGGTTCTTTATTGCTTTATACCAACCTCAAACTTACAGCTAGTTCAACTTTGATTTGTTTCTGCCTTTGATTTTCCTAAACCAATTAAATTTTGAGATCTTCTTCCCTTTCATTTTCTAGTGTTACTTAATATAATTACTGACTCAAAGACTACGCAAAGTAAAGTAATTACAAATGGAATGCTGTTAGAGGATAATCTGTGAAGTCCCTTATATTGTTATGTCCAGTAATTATTCTCCTGCTTAAGTGCCTTGTCCATCTGTTATATAAGGAAGTTAGTTGGAATCCCATTGAAAACTCATTGACCATTTCAGTAAACGTTATTTAATTTAACATCTTGCAAGTTAGCATCTTGCAAGTTCTTTAACATCTTGCAAGTTCGATTTAAGTAGATAATTCTTTTCATATCTGAAGAATTCTTTAATTGAGCATTATTGTTGGCTGTTATATGGGAGTAGGCTTGCGTATAGAATGCGTCAATTCAATAAAGTGAGTTTATTTTGTTTTGCAGTATGGATTTCCTTGCCCGAGGTTTTCTCCATATCTTTTGCTTTTTCGCACAGCTCACGTAATTTGAAATACTCAAAGACAAATTAAACTGCCATATTCTTGTACAAGATCCAATATAAAACTTCAACAGGAAAGAGAAATAACAAATGTAACATGAATACAATGTACATGATTAATTGCGAAAACGGTAGACTCACTTTTAACTATTTCTCCGCATCAATATAACATTGTTTGTATCATTCTGTTCGATTGATCACAGAGTAAGATATTATCACGTAACAAGAATATCGTATTCATAAAGGAACTCTATATTTTTGTTTTAAAATTACGTTACTTAAATGGCAGTCATCAAATCAAACACATTTTTGAAGTCCAATACGGCGATCCCTAATTGCTTACTGTGTTACTGTGTAAATTTGTTCTGGATAGCAGCCTAGCGACTCCTTTGAAGACTTTTGATGTCGCGTATCGCTAAAGGAAGAAATTGCAAATTTCGAAGTCTTATAAGCGTGCTGGTTGAGAGTTGCCATCGTCAAGCAAGATAAAATGCTGTGGAAAAGCTCTGTAAATGTGCGCTTTTTACTGTTATTAATTAACCGCTTGTATCCCAGAGCATAACAAGGCAGTCTACTGTAATAAGAGCATAGTATACCGTTCTCTCCCAGTCTGAAAACAAGCGTATTTGTCCTCCTGGAGTTTTTTTTTTCTTCTATTTCACAATGATGGGATTTTTCTACTGAACTGCAATTGGATTTCCATCCCATAATCTGAGAGTTTTTAACATGATGCACTGTATCCGTACTATTTTTGCTATGGTGAGTTCGCACAGCCTGACGAAATCGATATGGATCTCGTACATCACCTTAACTAATTCATCATAGCAAACGCAATAAAGAATTTCTTCTTTTCCATCAGACCATTATCTTAGTATCAACTTCGCTTTGGTACTGATGGCGAAAATATCAGGTTTCCGGGTCATTGTTTTTGTATCTATTAGTGCCTGAAGTTTGGATATTTCCTACATATTCCTGACTCTTACACTTAATATTCCATAAAACAAATGCTAATGATTTCTTAAATTTCTGAGATTTATCGTACTTCGATCGTTTACAGTAGCATATATGAAATTTTAAGGAATTCAAATTCATTTATCAAATTACAAATGTTGATCAAAATATAAACTAGATTTTGATTTTATTTTAATGTAATTTGGAAAAATCTTTTTACTTTTTAGTGTAATTAACCTTGCCATTATTTTGCAGGTAAATGAGCGACAATAAATCTCTGAAAAGTTTTGAAGAATATTCACTCATTAATGACCAAAACAAAATTGTAGGACGTTGATATTTCGAAACAGATTGCCTTCATGGGCATTTTCGTATTTCCCCATATCTAACATGAGGATAAACCATTTTTTTTAAAGTATACCACCAAGGTACCCTTTACCTTAACAAACAGTCCTAAAGTGCTTTATGTAATTGATCAAGTGATGATCATAAGCAGGATCTAAAAGACAATAAATGCACTTACCTTGTCATTATGTATCGTTAAAGATTGGGCGTCATCTGGAAAAACTGGATTAGGAGCAATATTCTTCAATAGCTGCACTCTTTGAAAACCGTGTTTTTCTTTAAATAAATTCATGCCATCAATTCTGCGGAGAGGCCCATGACCCATTGCATACACTATGTGCGTTGTCCCATCCTGTTAAAGAATGTAAATGTTATAGTATTTTGCATTACATTAATGTCGGCAAGAAAATGCAATGCTGTGAACAGCTTTGTAAGATAATAATGGAAACATATATTGATTAAAATATAAATATTCAACTTCTTCTCCAAATGATTCACTCATTTACATAAAAAACATCATATGGCTTAATGCACTAGCAAATTTAAGCGCAGTAACTTATCAACACAGTTTCACACTAATTATTATGCAAAACAGGCTGCAGAGTCAAAAGGCAGTGCAAGGAATTTCGCAAATATTCGATATGAAAGGAATCAAAACCAACCTGCGTGGTGAAAATGGCAGTTAACCAGCCATAAAAAGTTATTCTATTGTAAAAGAATTAAATAGTGCAGATAATCGCGAAATTTGATCTTCCAGCTCAGAATGGTAACAAGCATTTTGTTGCAACATTGTGCACTTAATTTAAACAAACGCCAGTGAAAGATGAATATATACACATTTTTCCCAAAATAATTCGATGATTTTATGAGGAAAATAACCTTGTGCAATATAAATTACAGACAGCGAAAAATTTCAACATACAGATTAACATATATAAATTTAAAACTCATGGATAACTGCAGTTTCATCAGTCTTCACTCCAACTTGGTCAAAGCTTGTTCCTACCAACTAACACTTGTATAGAAGGTTGGTCGAAAGAACAGAGGTGGGACTCGGAAAACATTCTTTTGCCACTCCCAACAGGAGAGGCATAGGAGCTACTTCATTAAGATGTTCGCAGTAAAGGAAAATTTCCGAAGCTTCCAAAGCTGAATTTTTTTAGGAAAAGCCTACGAGAGCTATCTGGCTTAGCTAAATCCTAGTTTTCACGAATGGTTTGTAGGATTCCGTTATAATTGGGATAGTTTAATAAAATCATGCAGGCCCTACTCGGAAGATAGCGAGTTATTTATGGGTCTAAAGCAAGTTTCAAAATGCTGAAGAAGGTTAAAATAACCTTTTTATTTAGTTATAAATGGAACAGAACAGGCACAAATTAATGCTACAGACGTAACTTCTTGTACTTGAGGATATTTAAATTAACACAATAGACAATTAAATTCAAACGTTGATAATGTAGACTAAGACTACACATAAAATAGGTTACTAAGCTGGCTCAGATAGTTATGAGTAGTTTAAAGCATCGGCTAGGAAGGTACTAAGGCCAGAATATAACTTTCAGCAGAGCTGGCGAGAGCATATAATAGCAAGATACGGTTGCCATAAATTTTAATCTAAAATTCAAAACTTCACCTCAAATGCCCGAAAACTGAATTTGCATTCTGGGGAGGAATATGGAAAGAAGAAGTTACAGTGAAAGTTTATAGCATAATGATTATTTAAGTAAAATAAAACCTTACATATTTTCCGCGAAATTGACGCTTAAGATTTTTTACATCTCTTCTCTGGCAACAAATCTCTCCTAAGGATATTTCGCTTGACAGCTTTTAAGTGCCGCTGTAATGCAGACACCCTACAGTCATAAACATCCATGTTTTATCCAGGAACCCGTCATCCTGCGCTGACCGCCATAGCATATGGAAGCCAAAGTCTTCCAAGAAACGGTAACTAAAGGGAGCAATGAATTTTTAGCAACTAAAGCTATCTATCTACTTTATTAAATTACATGCGTTTGACAGCTAACCTTCAGACGTCACCTCTGTGTGTTGGTGAATTATCGCCTCTCCTTAATGCTTACTGCGGACGGAAGATACAATTCAAAATTTAAATATTAACGTAAAAACCTTATTCCTCACAACTTGGGGGTTTCTCCCTAAAATAATTCAAAACAAGATCTATTCATTTTTTTTTTGTTTTTTGTTGTTGTTGTTGACGGCTATTTACTGGAATTCAACAATTTACTGGTTACAACTCCAGCGACTTTGCTCAAAGTTACAACACTAACTGGGTCAGGCAGGAAAAACACAACTTTCAATACTTATGACGCGACAACGTCAGGCTTTCACTACCACACGTTACAACGCCAGGCTACTCGACCGTACGTCGCTCTAAGAAAGCAGCAGCATTCAACTGCCAAACTTCTACATAATCATACTGATTATGATTACCTTTCTTCTTTTAAACTACGCTGCATGTCATAACATTTTCATAGAACTCTGGTCTGGGGGGTGCGTGACGAAACAGGGTATAAAGTAAAGAATCAACATGAAGCTAATTATCAGTAGAACTTAAGTCAAGTGTCAAAATCTTAGCTCCAAACACTGGAAGTTGAGATTTTTATATTATCCTTTAAAAAAATGCTTTTTAACTTCTCTCTGTTTAACATAGGAAACATATTCACTTATCTTGAATATTACAGATCTATAGGTTTTTAAATGCGCCATAAATAAAAGCCGGGTATTACTCTGTTATGAAAACTAATTCCAGGTTATTGATAGGTTTCATGAATAAGAGAAATTCATACAGTTTGAATCATTTAAAAATAAGAGGGTTGGATATAGGGACAAAACAATTCTTTCTTCACTGCTAAGCAGAGCAAGGCTGAGCTCAGTGCTTAGCGAAATGAGCCTAAGCATATAAAGAAAGCTTAAAATTATTACTCTTGCTGTGTAAAAATAATTCTGAAAGGCCACAGTTTTTCTATCTAATCTACTAATACAAAAGAATGACAGTAATCTAATGCTTTTAAAATATTTTTTCTTCAAAAATTTTATTTTTTAAAAAGATTTTAGTTTTTTAAATTTATATTTTTAAAAAATTAGAAAAATTGAACTCTTGCAATGAATAATATCTGCTTGTTATTTCCATTTCTACATGATGTGTTACGATGTAAAACAGTAAATATCGTAAATCGAATTTCTGACAGAATCAAATAACGTTCAGTTTCTCATTTATAATGAATTCATTTATGTCCAGTAAGAAAATAGTGCATACGTCCATTTTCTCACCAAAATCGTGCTGTGATGAACTCGGCGGAAGAAATACGCAATAAGTGCCAAAGCTTTTCATAATATTGCCCTTGTTTTCTTCACTATGAACTGTGTATGAATTAGAAGCCAATATAATGCATACGAGACATCTTTCTGTGCTTTGATGTGCTCTAGTGAGTAAATGAATTGACAAAATTATTTTTGAATTAAAGGTTAAAGGCACAGAATGTTTCGATATTAGGCACAGAATGTTTTGGACAACTATACGTAGTGCAGCAATATGCCTTTAGGATTTTTGCAACTTCTCTAATGTCACTATATACGCTCGACTTTACGCAGTTACACAGAAAATCACCACGTTTAGAAAAGAGATATAGGCATAAAAACGCATCGGTAAGTCTGAGTGGCTAGAGCCCTTTCGAAACGATACAGTTATAGTATCAGTAGGTGTTGATTTTTCCGATAATAATCCTATGTGTTATATCTGACTTCGAATCTAAAATTTTCTGAAGAACACAAAAACCTTGTCTAAAACTTAAAGGTTTATTTAACTGGAACTTCAACACTGATGAAAACTTAACATCACAAACAAAAACTTAACATCTTGGGTGGAAAACTTCAAAGTGCTTTAAAGTAACAGCTATGCCGGCACGGTGAAGAACACTTTCCCCTAAAAGACAGAATCCATCTAGCCCTTTCGGCGTATATCTCCATTCGCTGAATTCAGACATCCGCTCCTACGTGTTTTGGACTTAAACGGCCAGGCTGGAACTGGAATAGGACTGGATCAGGACCGGAACAGGACTGGAACAAGACGGGAACCGGAACAGGACTGGATCCGCAACAAGACGGGAACCGGAACAGGGCGGAAAACCGGAATCTCTCATCCCCTGGCTTCTCCCCGGGCAGGTCTATTCTGGCTCGAACTAAAAGGAACTGCGGTGCCACTAAGGAAAAGCACCTCCTTTTATTGCCGGCGGCGGTTGCCGTTACTACAGGCGACTTATGCAAATATTTAACATCCTTCCACCTAAGGGGAAAAAAAAAAAGAAAAAAAAAAAAAGTGAACTTTCACATCAAAGTAAAACAATGCCAAAGAGCCTTAATATGCCAGTCTGTCCGGCGGAGTTACAGTTCTACCAGATCGTGTTACAGGCCTGACAGATTTATCATCTATGTTGAGTTTAAGTTCAGACAAAGAAAAACAAGAATCTTGTTTTTCATTCTGCAGCTTCACGGGTACATCATTTTGCGCTACCTCTAAAGGATACAGAGTTCGAACTGCTCTAAGCAAAATTCCATTTCGGGTCTTTACTCTTGCAAGCCGATTTATTCCATCAGGTCCTGGAAGTAGTTCTATGACACGACCAAGTTGCCAAAAAAGTCTTTTGTCACTACTACCGATCAAAACAATATCATCTAATTTAATAGTAACTTTCCTTTCAGCTCTTTTATGCGAAACCTTGAGAATTCCCAAATATTCTTTACGAAATCTATTTTTAAATGCTTCTCGTACAGTTTGAATATACTGAAATCTTCTTTGTAAATTACTTGATTTAATACCGTATTTTATATCCCGCAAACTACTAGTTCTAATTTCTTTTAAAAAGTCGGCAGGAGTTAAAGCTTTAAATTCAGGATCGGAAGGAATTACTGTCAACGGTCGGTCATTAAGAATCGCTTCACAGTCACACAGTATCGTGTACATTTCTTCATAATTTAAACAAGCATGTTTAAGAACTTTTTTAAGGACTTGCTTCATCATTCCGATCAGACGTTCCCACCAACCACCCCACCATGGAGCACCAGGGGAATAAATTTCCATGTTATCCGCTCATTGGCTGCCTGCCGATTAATTTGTTCAAAATCTATTAATTTAAATGCATTTGAAGCTCCTACAAAATTAGTTCCATTATCACTGTACACAGTTGTGGGTTTACCTCTTCGTGACACGAACCGATGAAAAGCCTGAAGAAACACTTCTGTAGATAGAGAAGTCAGCAACTCCAAATGGACCGCTCTATAAACGGCGCATGTAAAAACACAAATCCATGCCTTTTCTTTGTTTCTCAACAATAAAGG